TTTTCTCCGACAAGTCCATGGTGGAGAGTCCCAGTATTTAAGCCCTATCTGGGACTGTCCACCAATTGCTCTTAGAACTGAAGAAGCTTTTTGGGTGAGAGGGGAAACATCTTCAAGGAAACTTAAAGAAGTCCAGATGCTTTTCTTTCCAAGCTCCTCAGACTACGATGACCTGGATGACTGAGAACCTTCACAGACATATTCTCTGACCTCTCCTTTCTGCCACTCTGCCATAGGTGCAACACATAGAGATAGGCAACCATTCACACTCACACCTACAGCCAACAAATTCATTAGTTAACCTAACAAGCATGTCTTTGGAAGCCACACAGGTATACTCCACACAGAAAAGCAAATTCAAACCCATTACTTTCTTACTTTCTTTGAGCTTATCAGTGTCATTATATCATCATATATCATATATCATCTTCAAGCTGTGTCCTTTGAACAAATAGGATAGTCCCTTCCCTGCATGAGGATTTATGACAGCTATAATTAACTGACTAAGTATAACTGATAATAACAGAGAAAGACAGCTTACTGTAAGCTGAGAGAGCAGGCAGGAAAGAAAGCCATACAGAAGATAAATGAAAACAACATTAAAAAATAAGATGCTTCAGCAGCTGCTTCTGATCTCTCTGCTGGGTCTCACGTGGACATCAGGTCTCCACTGTTACTATAGCTCGATCTAATGCTCATGTTTCATGTTTGTAATGATGATGTTTTGTTTCAATTTGACAAATTATAAATATATATTTTGAAAAGGTTCTGCATGAAATGTAGGAATTATGCACGATTTACCTAAAGTAAATTTTGCAGAAGTCAGGTGTTAAAATAAGCTATTTTTAACTCAGTCTGTTAATGCTAACATTACTACTTGTACTATTTATTTGCTTATTTTGGAGGTTTAGTTGAAATTATTGGATTTTGATGTATATTTGCTGCTATAGTTATTTATATAGTTACTATAGTTATTAAAAAAAATAATTTAAGTAAAATTAAAATATTCAGTATATGACTGTCCAGTTGGTAAGAGTGATAGCAATACAGGAAGAAGATGTTTGTGTTTGTTGTGCTCCTCTTTTCCAACCAAGAGTGGATTTGAGCCAAGTCTGCAATTGAATAAAGAGTAATACTTTTGCCAAAAATGCTCCTCAGGGCCTTGAACTTCTGTACTTTGAAGCATTTTTATCATTTGTTATCTCTTCACGTTTTCTAGCAGTCGGACTGCCGTGCTCTCAGATGATCCCTTCGCAGGAGCCTCCTTCAACTGGTAAATTAGACAATCATATGGTTTTATGAACAGCCTTCGAGGAGAACAAAGCTCTACAGCTGACACTATAATACTGATCTTTATGATAAACTACAACTCAGCCATGAAGTGTCTGACCACGCAAAAGTACAGAGCAGGGTCGGTGAGTGCTGAGGTACATAGTGCATAAAGCTCTACTAACTCATTACTGTAGTCCTAAACATCCTCTTGCATTAACAACAACAACACAAAAACTGCACTGGGAGATCGATGTAGGTGTAATGATTAAGTCTGAGCAGAACGTTTAGCATGATTACTAGATTTGATAGTTTTAGTAAACTTTCCTGTTATCACACTTTTTAAAACTTTTACTGGGATATAAATAAATGTAGGTTATAATAAATGTATATATATAAATAAATAAAACAACTTCCCTGCTGCACACACTAATGTAACACCATCATGGGACGATTGTGGCTCAAGAGTTGGGAGTTCGCCTTGTAATCGGAAGGTTGCCGGTTCGAGCCCCGGCTTGGACGGTCTCGGTCGTTGTGTCCTTGGGCAAGACACTTCACTCGTTGCCCACTGGTGGTGGTCAGAGGGCCCGGTGGCGCCAGTGTCCAACAGCCTCGCCTCTGTCTGTGGCTAC